CCTTGCTGCATGGCGGAGGGCGGGTGGTAGAGCCACGGCAGATAGCGGGTCACAGCCTTGTGGTCTCGGTGGTTGCCCCGGGAGATTTCCACGGCCGCAATCTGGGCCAGCCCCACTTTGAGGTGCCCGCCAAAGGTGTCCTCGTGCAGAGGCTGGGAGCACATCTTCATGTGGCTCTGCAAAACCAGACGCCCTTGTGTGACTTTGGCGGACACCTGGCGACGGTCCGGGCCCCTCTTGGAGAAGACCGGCTTGTCGTTCGCCCTTTCTAGCGCGCTCCAGGCACCAGCCTCTTCACCTCTTCCCTGCCTTCCCACTGTTCTCTGAATAAAGGGGGAACTCCCTCGCGTGGCCTCCCAAGCTGGGAGCGAGCAAGCTGCCGACCACCACTTCATCCTGTGGCTCCAGCCACGCCGCCTGGGTTTCCTCTCGCTAACGTTCCTTCTGCCTGAAATACTGCTCCTGCCTCTCTTCACCTAATTGTTCCGATTTTAGCTCAAATGTCACTTCCTCCAGGAAGACTTCCTTGACCCCCCTGGCCAGGTCCATGCTGCTGTCTGCCCTTTTTTTCACAGTAATTATGAGACATATAATTTGACTCTAGTTTGTGTGAAATGGTCGTTAAATTTGGCCTTCACTGGCTGGCTATACATTGAATGGGGGCAGCACTGTCTGCTTTTGCGCATCACGGCATCCCCAGGGCCTAGAACGATGCTAGTTTGATGAATCTGTTTGGAAAAACTTCTTTCCTCAGCGTGGCTTAGTGGGAAGAGCACTGAAAAGGAGTTGAGACCTAGGTTCTAGGCTCAGTTCTGTCCTGGTGCTTGCGTGGCCTTGGAGAAGCCACTTGCCTGTGACTTCTGTTTCCTAACATGAAACCTCAGAGGGGCGGACTATGCCTGCAGTCCCCGCCTTTTGATGGTCATGGATCCTTCTCGCTGTTTTCAAAAGTGTCTGCAAAACAGGCTAAAAACGTGTAGGTGATCGCTGTTTCGTCTTTGTGCAGCAAAGTCGTGTAAGCGTGGACAACCAGACTCAGCAGTTAGTTGCCAGCATGCATGTAAATGATGGCGAAGCTTATTTACAAATCGCTGGACTCATACATTGTGAGATTTTATTATCAGTTTAAATTTTGATTCTACTTTCCACATAGTGTTTGCAAACCTATCAATATACCAAAAAACCCAGAAAACAACAGTTTAATCATCTGAGCAGAGTCTAGGAGCAGTTCAGTGATGAAGAGACCATCTCTTCAGCTGACAAGCTTGTAGGGTCACAAGGTTCATATTTTTACCTAAAAGGAATCAAGCCATATGCAGTGGCTCATGCCTATAATCCTGGCACTTAGGGAGGCCAAGGGAGGAGGATCACTTGAATTCAAGACAAGCCTGGGCAACATAGTGAGATCCTGACTCTAAACAAAAATAGAAATAAAAAAACTTTCCAGATGTGGTGGCACGTGCCTGTAGGCCCAGATATTTAGGAGGCTACAATGAGCCATGACTGTGCCATTGCACTCTAGTCTGGGAGACAGAGTGACTCTGTCTTTAAAAAAAAAAAGGAAACATTTAGTGCCAGATAGCAGTTTGGCTGTTCCCTGGACTATGTTTGGATTCTTCTGGGTCCTCTGTCCAGGGCCTTCCTCCAATCTCTCCTTCGTTGAATCATGGCAGGGAAGTGGACTTCTACATACAATTCGTTCTACCCCGCAAAACAATCAGGACCTCAGCAACTCCACTGGAATTTTGTCCATGTGCAAATTAAAAGCTTGCTCTTTGCCCTTTCTTTAAATATGTTTTGAAGACGATAGTGTCAATGCAGTGGAAAATAATAAATGGCTTACATTTGCATGTGCTACATGCTACGAAAGTCCGTTCACGTACATTATGGTACATCTGCCTTGTAACAGTCAGGCACGATAGGGATTATGAGACTTGCTCTTCAAGTGAAGAAGCTGAGGCTCGGGGGAACCAAATGGCGCGGTGTTACAGGGCAAAGACGGAGTCAAACAGTTGTTGGCTCAACCTTGACTTGCCCACTTAGTAGTTTGACCTTGGGCAAAGCAAGACACCATGCAAGCCTCGGTCCTACCTCTGGAAAGTGGGGATAACCTCTTATCAGGCATCATGAGAATTGCGTCAATGCAGAGCAAGGCTCCGTGCGTAGCCGACGCCATGTGAATGCTTTCTGTGCCTCCTCTCCCTCTTTGCAGAGCTGGACCCTGGCTCTTTGGACCCCTGTGGCACGGGATAGCTCAGCCGGGCTCCAGCTGCCTCCCCAGGCAACCACAGGCGCCGCGGCCTGCTGGCTCCCTACCAACGCCTCGTGGCGAACCCCAGAGCCGAGCGGACGGAGGCCAGCTCACCTTCAGCTTGGTCAGCGTGTGCATGTCTGCCATGAAGTCCAGCACCTCGCTGATGTACTGCCGCGCACACTCCATCGCTGCGGTTCCACACTGCAATACAAGGGCACGGCTGGGCACGGCATCCTCTCTGCCCTGACTGCAGTGACGCGCTCACTCTGGCTTCCAGCCGCTTACTAGGGAGCCGCTTCACTTCCTGGACTCCTGACTCCCCCCACTGCCCTCAGCATCACCTGTGACCGTCTGCCCAGCGTCGGATGGCAGCTGGTGGGTTTGTGGTGGAGAGCAAAGGGTGGCCGATGGGAGGCAGGGCTAAAGCCGGGGCCTCTGGGATACCAGGCAGTTGGCCTGGTTTTTGTTTGTGTGTCTTTAAACTGGTCTGCATGCAAAGATTCAGCGTATGTAGTGCCACTTTGTGGCATGAACTGCCCCGAAACTACAGTAACATGTTATCACTCCAGGGACATCCCAGCGACACACAAAACATGTGCCGCTGGTGTCTGCCACCGGAATCTTGAATCTTGTCCTATCTGAAAAGAAAAGCATGTAAACAAGCATCCTGATTGCTGAAAGAGTCAGCAACTCTCAGTCACATCAAGTCACTTGCAAATCGTCATATACGTAACAGGGACACTATTCCATAGCTGCACGCAGGACCGGGATGCATAAAAGAAACAAAAATGGGCCTCTTCCCCACACACTTGAAGTGTACTGGAAGAGTTTTAAAGGAAAGGAAAGCAAGCTTGTGTTTCAGGTTATTAAATAGCATGAACCTGCTCTCTGAGCAACGCCCTGAATTTGGGATTACAAGCAAAGCAAAACGAACAAACGGGCTGCCAAATCAAAGCCATATGAGAGACCCCACACACCAGGCTGGCTACCGTGGATCAAAAGAGGCGGTCTTTGAAGCCCTGGGAATGCGATGCGAAAGGCCCTTCTTGGAATTCTTTAGGAAACTCTGGAACATTATATCCTTAACCAGCTTGCCCAGTGGCTTGCACTTTCCCATATTCATGTAAATCTGCCCAGCACTGAACTATATCACCTTCTCTCTCTTCTAGAATGTTACGCTTGTCAGTTCTTCTGACAGGATAACAAACAGTAAAGTAAGGTCACTGGCAGTCTGTCAGAGTGTTTTCCAAGCATTTCATATGTTCTAAGGTTTTTCTTCTTTTAATTTAAATCGAGTGAAGGAATTATAAAAGGTTTTTGTGCTCCTGCTTTTGGAATATTAATCCTTTCATGCAAGAAAGGATTTCCCCCTATTTATTCCTTTTTCTCTGACCTTTCACATGTCATGCAAATGGGAGCAGAGATTCTGCTCTTGAATTTCTTGAAAGGGATTTGTTTCTTTCATAGGCAATATTTTATATCATTTCAACTAGGCAAATGTCACCGAAAATAATTACTGGAGCGTTATTCAAGATTTGCCTTTTACGTTAAAATCTCAAAAAATGAGAGTAAGGAATTTACTATCACCTAGTTACTTTTGTTCTAGAGACAGCAACTATATCTGACAAAAGCCTTAAAATCCACTGTATGGTCAGGGGAATCTTGGTGAGTCATCTATACTTACAAAACAAAGCATATAACTTCCAATTCCCCTTCCCGCCCTTTTTTTCAAACTTTTCAAAGCATCAGTATAACCTTAGGTGTACTATTTTAAAAAAAAGAAAAGCAAAGAAGTCAAGCCCATTTGTTTCAGAAGACCTCTGCTTATTTTAACAGAAAAACTGATGATCAAGGAATTGAAAACGTACTCCAGCCTCAAACACATGACTCAAAGCAAATCACATCCAATCTTCCTCAAAACTAATATCTGATTTTAAAGTTACATTTCTTAAATTATACAAGCAGTATAACTTTTAATGTTGAAAATACAACTTTCTAAAAAGAAAAATTAAAATCACCATAATCCTAATTCCTGTCCTCCATCTCTGGGAAAACCACTATTAATATTTCTTCCCAAGCTTTTTTGAATGTTTATAACATACACACATACATGCAATTTTTTATAAGATTGAATTCATGCTTTTCTAGCTTGTTTTTTAAATTAAATACATCATAAGAATTTTCCAGTTGGTGACATATTCTTTGAAACCTTGGTTTAGCAGTCATATAACAGTCTTATCTTACAGATGTACCTTATTTTACTAAACAATGTCCTAATGTTAGACATTTACTTTTTCCCATATTTCTGCTGCTTTCAATGATTCTTTAATACACTTGTATATAAATATGTGCATATTTATTTTCTTGAACATATTCCTAAAAGACTGCCAAACTGCCCTCCAGCAAGGTTGGTTTCACTACCACTAGTGGCTTATAAGAACACTTGTTTCACTTCACCATCAAGAAGTTTAATCAAGAAAAATCTGCTGGGGGAGGATCAGCCAAAGCATAAAGTTACACAAGATGAATCAGCCCAGAAGACATACTGTGCGGCACAGTGCCTACAGTTAGCAGCACTGTTCTGATACTTGAAAATTTCCGAAGAGGGTAGATCTTACACAGAGTGTTCTTGTCAATAATAATACGCACAAATAAATAAAGAGGTGGGAGAAAAATGTAGAGATGACAGATATGCTTATGGCATAGCTGGTGGTGATGATTTCATGGTATATACTCATCTCCAAACTCATCAAGTCATACGCATTAAAAACATATGGCTTTCTTTATGGCATTCACACCTCAAAAAAAAGATTTTCAAAAATAGGAAAATAAGCTGGGCATGGTGACTCACACCTATAGTCCCAGCACTTTGGGAAGGTTGAGGTAGGAGGATTGCTTGAACCCAGGAGTTCGAGATCAGCCTAGGCAACATAGCGAGATGTTGCTTCTGCAAAAAATTTAAAAATAGCTAGGTGTGGTGGTGTGCACCTGTAGTCCCAGCTACTTGAGAGGCTGAGGTGGGAGGATTGCCTGGGCCCAGCAGGTCGAGGCTACCATAAGCTGTGATACTCAAGTACTCAAGCCTGGGCAATGGAGTGAGATCCCAACTCGAAGGAAGGAAGGAAGGAAGAAAGGAAGGAAAGAAGGAAGGTAGGAAATAAAATAAAAATCTGTTGTTTTCTAGCCATTCTAATATTCTAAAACATTTAAATATTTCATATTAATTTACAATTAATTGATCACGACTAAGAGCAAAATGTTTATTTTGAACGACTTATTGGTCACTGGAAAGGGTTTTATATGTGAACCCTGCAAGTGTTGCTTTTCTGTAGTTAGAATGTTTACCCTTTACCCTTGACCTTCTCTATTGGGGATATTATTTTTCCAATATCATGTATGTAGACTCAAACAATTGACTGATTAGCTACTCCTCAGACCCATCTGTCTTCTTTCCTAGCACACCACTAGACCACACTTCCCATCATCCCCTGCAGTTAGCAGTCAGGTGACTACGTTCCAGCCAATGGGATTTAGGAGAAAAACCATGCACGTGTAGACCTGGTCCATGAAAACCCCGTGTGCCATGTTCTCTTCTCCTTCCCCAGCCACCAGCTGATTGCAGAGGACGGCATACGATGGAAAAGACTTGACCCCAACCTTCCACGTGGATGGTCCCTTTCTCCAACTAACCAGATGCCCATTTAAACTTCGCATGTGCAGTCAATAAGCTTTTGCGTAAGTCACTGAGAACCGGATTTTTATGTCATAGCACCTTGCACGATACTATAAAGGGCCCTCAAAATAAAACCCATAGCCAAGTAGCTGCTCCCTGAAATCTACTATAAACAAGTAGCCTAAAACATGGACAAAAACTTAAGTACAAAGATGTTCACTGTATATTACGTGCAACTGCAGGATTTTGAAAATAACGAAAATATCCAATAATAGGTAAGAAGGTTTGTTAATATTGTGTTTAGTAGGTAGCATTCACGCAACACTTGTTATATGTCTGGTACCATGTGAATACGCTTTATATGCATCACCTTATCCAATCCTCAGCCTCCATGTTAAGTTGTTATACCCCATTCTACAGGTGGTGCGAGCCAAAGAATCATAGGCTAAAATACTTTCCTAAAGTCACACAGCTAGTAGATGGTAGGCCTCAAATCCTGGTGTGAGTGTAAAGCCTACACCCTCAGTCACTGGTCTGTGAAATACAAAAAGGCAGGCAATCAGTGTGGTCGGAACTTACTCCAGGTACAGCGGCGATCATCTGCTTGCTCAGAATTGTTGACTCAGCCAGTTTGGTTCCGGCATCTGCACAAATAAACTGATAAAAAATGGAAAGGGCAATTATTTTCAAGAGCACCTAGACAATAATAAGTAAGTTATAATTTTACCAACTTGGCTTACATTCATTAGTGCTTACTTCCTTGACAATCTGCCCTGGAGAGGTCATACTGGCTAATAGTGAAAGTTCGTTCCTATCAGAAACTTGGAATCACAGCACTGATATTAACACGCAGATTCCTACTTTACCCAGTTAAGGGGCACTGAAATGGGCATTCAGTCAAGGAAGAGATAAAAGATGTCAGCTTTGTCAGATTTATTCTGAAGTCGTTTTATTTGTGCACACATTCATAGATTTCCATTTCTGTCGCTATATCATACATTTAGCAGGGAAACCGAAAAACCATCAGCCTTGGAGTGAGCAATTGACTGTTTCTTCCCCTCCAAGGACCCTGCATGTCTCGTCTTCCTCGCCTAGCTTCACCTACAGCTGTGCTCTGTGCGGATCATGACCCCTCCTCTGACTTTGAGCACTCCCATGGGACCAGTCACTTCCACTATAACAGTCTGCTGTGGGCTCTTCAAGAACACAGACTGGACGCCCCTCTGCCCAGTGCCAGCTCCGGGCCTCGCGTCTCAGAGGGGCTCAGTGAGAGTTTATGAAATGAGTCAATTACTCAGTGATGACTTGAGGTCACTGTGAGGACGGATTTGCCAGATTACAATTTAATTTGCTTCATGGTCGATTTTTGACAGGTGTTTCCCACTTCATGCAACATGCAGCTATTGGTTAAAGGCTGCAGAAAAAGAGCTAAACTTGAAGTGGAGTGGCTGTGAGCAATTAGCTCTTGTCCAATTTCTCTTTCTTGGCGGCCAGTGAGTGGCCCTCACAACTCGGACCTGACACTGCTGCTGTGCAGAGTGCAGAGACCATGAAGAAGTTTCAGCACGGAAGGCTCCACCTTTCCCTTTGTTTCACTCTCGTACTGGAAGGCACAGGAAAGCTGGATGGATCAAGACCACGTCCAGTTTAAGCAGGCTCGGTCCTTGTCGTACTGGGGAGCACGGGCACTGGGGGTGCAGAGAAAATTTTGAGGAGGCCTGAACCAGGAGCAGAAGTCCGCATGCTGACAGGCTGCTTAGGGGTCCGGATCTGAGCGTAATGAAGGGGCGGCAGATCTTGGCCACGGCGGTGGAGCTCTGAGCCAAAGGCCTTCTGAGGCCAAGGAGCCCTTCTCTTTCTTACTCGGGGCCAAGAGCCAGTCCCCAAGAGTGTCCTTTGCAAAAGGCTTGTTGGTGCAGGTAACTGAGCTGAGGGTGAGGGCACCCAAGCAGAGTGTCCCTGAGAGCCCCGGGATGGAGGAGACCCAGGTCTCCACGTTAGCATTCTGTCACTTCCAATTGCCTCACATGCAGCTATGGAGAGCTGAAGAATCTGCTTGGCCATCAGCTCTGAATCTGGCAAAGAAAGCAGCAGCTGGCAGCATCCTGGGCGCATCTAAAAGTTTCCATTACTTCCTTCAGGTACGCTTGTGCCTGCTCACCTAAATGGGACTTATTTCTAATATAAGGAAAAGTGAGTAAATTGGGCTGAAAAATGTAAAGCCCAGAACACTGGCCAAAACCGGAAAGTAACAAAGTGAAACCTGAACTGTTTGGTAGAAGCACCCAATGCAGAAGGAGCATGCCCAACCAGCCTCCTGGAGGGGATCCGGGTTTTTCCACATGACGGGTTTTCAAAAGCTCCCAAGTCTATCGTCTAAAACAAGCTGCTTGCAACTAAGATCCAAAGCCTCTGTGAGGACACCAGCATCCACCTCCGTTCGCTTCTCTGCCGCAGAAATGAGACTGCACAACTGGGAAGGCCCCGAGGAAGGCAAGGCCACACCCACCGAGTGGGCTCAGAGGGGCCCTTCGCGTGTCCTGGGCCCCGTCGAGTGTGCTTGCCTGACCCAGCCCGGCCCTGAGGAAGAGACGAGATTTGTGAAGACGCAGCCCCTCCAGGGTCTCCCACCGGCCACACAGCAAGGCGGAGCGAGAGGGACACTGGAAGCGTGATTCAGCACGGCCAGCAGCCACCGGTGTCAGTGTCCGAGGTCAGATTTAAATGCTGGTTTGCGATAACTCTTACAAATCCGAATTAATCAGAAATTGCCCTGGAAGTGAGGAAAGTGCCTCAAAGAATCTGGCATATTAAAGGAAGTAACAGTGCACAAGCCTCTAAAATCATCTATTATTTATTTTTATCTATGCATTTTAATTCACGTGTATTTTCGTATCAGATGTACACCTAAAACCCAATAAACCTTTTGGGCTTTGTTTTACATGGCTGCCAGCCACGAACTGAGAAATAATCCATGATAATTTTGTAGAACTTCTCCAAGTATAAAGACAACAAAAGTCAGGGAAATGATGATTGCTGTAGAGGGAAGAGCTCCATACTTTCAGAGAGAAATATGTGCCCCCCCAGGAATGCAAAAGAGCACAAAAGAGGCCTGATACTCGTTATGCGCCATTGCTAACGTCATATTCAACATGAGCCCAAAGCAATCTCTCCAACTCCCAGTCCATAGGATGATCAGATTGTTACTAACTCAGCGAACACCCATAAGGCCCCTCGACAGTAACTCTGCAAATTAAAAACAACAGCTGTGCCCCCACCACGCCTTTGTCCTCCAGCCCACAACTAAACTGTCTTTGAAAGAAAACCTTCCACCAACACGCTTTCCCATAACTTGGATATGCAGGTATATCCCGCAGAGTGGAAATGGTACATGCAAATTAGCAGAATATCTACTCTTGACGCAAAAGAGAAGCCGAGGACATGATTTCTGATGTGGATTTAAATAGTCCCTGTGATGGCTTTAATGAGTTATCACTCCATTGTGGAAACCTTGAATCCATCTCAAGAATAAGATGCATAAAATATCTACTGCAAACCACAGAAAAGAATACGTTGGAAGCAAAAGCAAAAATGTCCATGGATGTGAGTTAAATTAGCATGGCAGCACATCTGTCCAAAGTGCAGAAAAACCATTTGCTAGTGGTTGCCAATTTAAGGTTCTCAAAGACATAGTGTTTTTCTATTTGGCCAATTCTTCCCTATTTCCACACCTTTTTCTTTAGGAAAAATTCCATTTGCTTAAGGCCACCCTACTTCTTATGTAAGTAAAAACAAATAGCAGCAGTCATGGCAAGACAACCACAGGCAGGCTGGGGAATTCCCCGTGAGGCCAGGCCTCCAGGGAGAATTTCTAGGAATTAAGAAACAGATTGGTACTGGTTACTGCTTTGACATGTTTAGAACTTGAGTGGCCCGATGTATCTTGGGCAAGTGTCCCACTTCCTTTAAGAGTCTCTCTTCGTCAGGTGTAGTGGCTCACACCTATAATCCCAGCACTTTGGGAGGCCAAGGTGAGAAAATTGCCTGAGCCTACAGGTTCGAGACCAGCCTGGGCAACTTGGTGAGACCTCATCTCTACAATTAAAAACAAGTTAGACAGGCATGGTGGCACGTGCCTGTAATTCCAGCTATTTGGAAGGCTGCGGTGGAAGGATCACCTGAGCCCAGCAGGCAGAGATTGCCATGGCTGTGACTGTGCCCCTACACTCCAGGCTGGGTGACAGAGTGAGACTCCAACTCAAAAAAAAAAAAAGCCTCTCTTTCGAGAGAGAAGATTTGGTACACAACAGAGACATGGCCTATCTATGAGAAGAATATGAACGGCTCTGGCTTAGTAAACTATAGGCTGAGCTATTAACTGGAGAAGTAACAGACGGAACGCTAGCAGTTCCCTCTGGGATGGAAGAATAAACAGGAAACCCCAGGTCAGGGTGACCCCTCCTCTTTCCAGGAAGGACCAGCGTCCCTCAGGATAGGTCCCCCATGGCCTTTCCTTCCAGTCACTGCTTCCTTTTATGTCTCCAAGTTGCATTTTCAGCAAAGCAAACCCACTCCACTGGGTGGCCTTTGGATGGTGGCCACTGGTATCCATGGAGACAGTCACTGTCTGCCCCAGACTCACCATATGTGCATACTGTTAGTCTGGCTGTCCAGGTGCTAGGAACTGACACTGTCCTTCAGGAAAGGGAATGCTTTCCTCTCGACTCCAGCCTAGATGCTCTGGCCTAAAAGAAGCTACCAGGAAGCAGGCTACCACTTCCACTGTTCTCCAAAGAATACCTGGAGGACCCAGGCAGTCAAGGGAAAAGAACAAGCAACTGAGAAACCCTACAGAAGACGGATTCCTCACAGGGAAACAGACGCTTCTCCCTCATTCCACGGCGGTCTACAGAAGACTCTTCTCCATGACTTGGGCAGGACCGCAGGGCAGAAGAGGGAACCGCCCTGTTTCTTAAGCTTTGCCTCACTTTTGTTTCTCTCCTTAGCAATGAAAATGGCGTACTCTAAGAGTGTTATAAACAAGGACATGACACTTCAAAATGGCAGGACGCTTAACGTTTTTTGTGGGAAAAGGCTGCAACCTTATCCACAAAGTGGTTCCTCCGGGGAATGATCTCCAAACCTCTCCCATCTGAGTAATTTTACAACGTACCTTTTTTAGCTTAGCATGTTCAATGACAAAGAGCACATTTGTTTTTACAAGAGGAAAATGTTTTACACGTTTGAAATGGGAGATGAAAATCCGCAAAAAGTATCTTTTGCCTTCTTTATTCCTAAAGCTAGTTTGTTTCGGTTACTTATTCACCCAACTGTGATGCAATAATCACTGTTTTTGTGGTCTCCTTAAGCACGGGCAATTTAAATTGTCAACGTGTCCTTTTGCTTCTTGTGACAAGTGCTTATTATGGCTGACTAATGTACTTCACAGAAGGCTGGGCCCCGCCCTTGCAGTGTGGGGTGCCAGACCCCGAGAAGATCGGCCTGTTCAGGACTGGGGGCAATTGGGGAGTGCTGTCCACCGCCCACAGGACAGCACCTAGGGGCCCTGAAAGCCAGGTCATTTTGAGGTGGCACGCCCCAACTACAGCGCCATCAGAAGCAAGTGGCCTCCTCAGACACTGCCAACCTGTCGCCTTCAATCCCTCCCAGGCTGGTTCGCCAAGTCCTGGCCACTGCCCTCTCCTCCAGGCTGGCGCAGAGCCCAGGTGTCTCCCAAGTCTGCCCATGAGCGCTGCCTCCGCTCCACGGCGGCCTTGCTGCTGCTGTGGGAAGAGAGGGGCTGGCCAGTGCCCATCCACGGGGAAGCACTCAGGCGGGCTCTCCTCAAGAGCACAGCCATTTTCTGGTCGTGATGTTGCTTCTGTCTTCCTCCTGGGTTGCTCGGCATCTCAGTACAACGAGGGCCGTTTCGTCTGATGACATCACGCCCACGTCCACTGCTGTCGTTTCCAGCGAGCACGAACTCACGGCACGAGAGCGTCAGTGTGCCCCAGAAAGCTCTTCAAAGAAACTTAAGACAATTCTTCACTGGAAGCACACTGACTTTTTATTAAGTCTCAAGACTGGAAAAAATTCAGTTCTGGTCCGACTGATCAGTTGTCTCTAGTGGGGGTGGAAGGAGACCAGGAAGTGGATACTAAGTGGTAAATGGCAAGGGTCTCCCCTCCTCTCCTCTGCTTGGCAAACGCCTGAACCTCCGGGCATCCCTTAAGGTCCACACGGTCCACTCCCTTACTCGGCGCACATTTCTACGACCGCACCCTTCACACAGGGGGGCAGTTTTGTACTTACATGCTGACTTCACCTACTGGAAAGAAGAAACTGTGGCTTAATCGCCGGTGTTTCCCCAGTACCCAGCACAGCACCTGAGCCGAGTCGGGGCTCATAATGGCTTCGCAAGCCTTCCTCCATTGCCCAGGCTGAGGCAGCCACTGCCTCCTCCTCAACGCTTTATATCCTGTGTAGACTTCTGTGACACAGTAGGTTAGCCCTGGATCAGGAGATGCCTTTCGCCTCTCTGTATCCCCAGAACCCAGCCCAAGATAGGCGGTCAGCAGATACTTGTGGTGGGAAACACGGCTGCGTCGTTCAATGCGGCCAGCTGATGGGAGAATCAGGCCTGACAGGTCACTCCAGGGCTTAGATACAGAGAGCGATCTGATCGAAAGCAGAGCTTCAGCAAAATTCCTCTGGGCAGCCACAGGCCAGGAGATTGGATGGGCATGGAAAGAGACAAAGGAGGTGCCAAAAGCCTGTGTTGCTGTGGAGTCCAGGCGAGGGATGGAAAGCGCCTGACGACGCTGAGCTCACCCGAGCAGGACGGGGCGCTGGGTCCCGACGCTCTGTGCTCGGACGCTGACAGGCCACCAGCGGCATGACTCGGGCCAGCCACGCCCCCACGATCCCAAGCCAGGACCGCACGTGGCTGCGAGGGCTACGTGGGGGGACGCGGCGCCCGTAACAGGTGCTCGGCTGAGGCGCCCTTCTTCCTCGTCGCTCCGGATGGCAGCCAAAGCACTGACAGAATCCCCATCTTCCTTCCATCTTTGAACCTCAGACTTGTGGGTCCAGACTCTGGAACTGGTCTTAATGCTCGTCGGAGCATCGAAACCGCTGTGGTGCGGCTACCGGGTCCTTGGCACAAAGGCCGCGTGGGTGACACCCCGCTGTAACTCAAGGCCACGTCTTCAAATCCAGCCTCGGCCCTGGGGGTGGAAGGCAGGGTCCCAGGCTACCGACCCCTGCCGACTCCTCAACTTCTTGCTCGAGTCACAGGCTCTAAAAGTATTCTGCCACCCTGGCTCAGCTCTCCTACTGCTGAGACCAGCCAGCCCCCGTCTGGATGCCCCTCCGGGCAAAGGCCCTTGGGACCCCACGTGGCTTCCCTCCCCGGCCTCACGCTGCGTGGGTCTCCCTTCTGCTCTCAGCTCCCCCTGGGACTTTGTTTCCCTCCTCTCTCTCTCATGTGCGAGTCACAGGCTGCGGCAGGGCATCAGAACCTGCATGCCTGCCTGAGCTGCAGCGCTCAGGACCAGGGAGAGAAGGCTTCAGCCCCTCCTAAACAGACACACAACCAAGAGCACAATCGGTGCCCACTCCCCAGAGCCTGCCCTGAGCGCTGCAGTCGCCCCGCCTCAGTGGTCCCAGGAGGGCTGAGTGGCGCCTGCCTGCTCCCTCCCCTGGTCAGACTCAGGCATTCTGCCTTCGACTGTGTCTGGCCGGCCCAGGCTCGCCTTGCCTCTGCTTCACAGAGACTCGGTGGCACCCCCCCCGCCCCCCGCGCACTCGACCCTGCAAGCAGACCTCGCCTGCTCCCCATGGGTGGTGTCAGCAGCCCTGTCTCAGCTCTGGGGGGAGTTGCCTCTCCGGCCTACAGGATTGCTAATATCTCGAAAACAGAGATTATGGTGCATTCTTCTTTTTGTCCCTCCCAGAACTCATTACACAAGAGGAACAAAAATAAATACTCCTTTTTTGTCTTTTCTGTTCAGTGGAAGTGTCAAGTGCACAGAATTAGCTTGACCATGGCTCATATAAGACAGGAGGTCATTTCTCATCTCTGGGCAAAGACCTTTGATTTCATGCATCTGCTCTACACCTCCCTTAATGTTTCCAAATAGACACGAATCTCACGAAAGTTTTATAAGAAGGCACAGGCCTACCTGGACAAGCAGAAGGAGGTTTGTGTCTGGTAGAGGAGATTTGAGCTTTAGGGCCTGCAGAAGTTCCAGAACAACACTGCGAGATAGGTAAAACTTATCCCGTTCCTAAGAAGACAAAACAGAAGAAAGCAAGTGATGCTAAAAGTCCAGTTAGAGCCAATCTATGTCAAGAGAGCTTCCAAAAGACTCACAGGTCAGAAATTAAAAACAGAAATAAAAAACTTAAAACTGCACAGCGACGCACCCTTAGGAAATAAAGACTAAAAAGAAATAACTAAGGCTAAAAAGAAAAAGGTACTTTTGTGGATAATGAGTTTACTAAAGCACAGAGAACATATAATTTTTTTTTTTCTGAGTTGGAGTCTCACTCTGTCACCCAGACTGGAGTGCAATGGCTGCTCCTGGCCACTACAGTCTCGACCTGCTGGACTCTGGCGATCCTTCCGCCTCAGCCTTCCGAGTAGCTGGATCTACAGGGCGCACAATCACGCCTGGCTAATTTTTGATTTATTGTAGAGATGAGATCTCAGCAAGTTGCCCGGGCGGGTCTTAAACCCACGGGCTCAGCCGATCCACTCACCTCGGCCTCCCAAAGTGCGGGATTACAAGCTAAGCCACCGAGCACGGCTAGGACATATAATTTAATCATAAGACAAAGGTTACAACTTCAATATAGAAGCCTCAGTATTTGGTTCTTATTCACAGAAAGCAGGGTCTAAGAACTGTAGCAATTAAATACACTTAAAGGCTTTTTTCAATACGACATGACTTAGGGAGAAACATGCACACTTCTTCAAAGGGCTCCACGTCTCCAAGGAACTCGCTTCTAAAACGGACTATTCAAGCACACAAAAAAACAGAGACAACGGAACAGATCATGCGCCTGCCACTCATCTTTGCAAAATAATGTCATTTTTATTTGATTTGTTCTTTTTTTGAGTCGGAGTCTCACTCTGCCGCCCAGACTGGAGTGCAGGGGCCGCTCCCGGCCACCGCAGCCTCCACCTGCTGGGCTCCGTGGGTCCTTCCGCCTCAGCCTTCCGAGTAGCTGGAACTGCGAGTAGCTGGAACTGCAGGCGTGTGCTACCACGCCTGGCTGATTGTTTGTTTGTGTGTTTGTGTGTTTGTGTGTCTGTGTGTCTGTGTGTCTGTGTGTCTGTGTGTCTGTGTGTCTGTGTGTCTGTGTGTCTGTTTATTTATTTATTTATTTATTTATTTATTTATTTATTTATTTATTTATTGATTGATTGATTGATTGATTGATTGTAAGGCCGGGCTCGGTGGCTCAACCTGTAATCTCAGCACTTTGGGAGGCTGAGGTGAGTGGATTGCCTGAGCCCGCGGATTTGAGACCCGCCTGGGAAACTTGGCGAGACCTCATCTCTGCAATAAATCAAAAAATTAGCCGGGTATGGTAGCGCGCACCTGTAGTTCCAGCTACCTGGAAGGCTGAAGTGGAAGGATCGCCAGAACCCAGCAGGTCAAGGCTGCAGTAGCCGGGAGCGGCCACTGCACTCCAGTCTGGGCGACAGAGTGAGACTCCAACTCAAAAAAAAAAAAAAAAAAAAAAAGATACATAATATGTGCTTTGTATTTTATCGATCGTATTGCTTAATTTTATTTTTATTTATGTGTTAAATAAGATACATGCGTATGGGCTACCTGTGATGTCTTTTTTCATGCACATTATATGTAATGATCCAGTCAGGATACTTGGGGTATCCGTTATCTCAAGTATTTATCATTTCTATGTGGTGAGATCAGTTCAAGTCCTTTCTGCTAGCAATTTTGAAATAAATATATGACAAATTACTGTTAACTATAACTTCCCTACTGGATATTGGATGCTGGAACTTATCCCTCCCTTCAGACTGTATGTTTGTACCCATTAAATAAACTCTCTTCATCTCCACCCTTTCCAGGCTCTGACAACTAACATTTTAGTCTCTAACTTCATGAGATCAACCTTTTTAGCTCCTACATATGAGTGACAACATGCAATATTTGACTTTCTGTGCCTGGCTCACTTTACTTAGTATTAAACTCCAGTTCCACCCAGCTTGCTGCAAATAACATGCTATCATTCCTTTTTTATGACTCAATAGTATTCCACTGTGTACATATACCACAGGTAGGAGTACAGGTATCCCTTTATGGACACATTTCTTTTCCTTTGGATAAATGCCCAGTGGTGGGGATTGCTGGACCATACAATAGTTCTATTTGTTTTTTGAGAGACCTCCAAACTATTTTCCATGGTCGCTGTACTAATTTACATTCCCATCAGCAATGTATGCGAGTTCCCTTTTCTCTGAGCCCTTGCTAGTCCTTGCTAGAATTCTTGCTAGAATCTGTTGTTTTTTTGGTCTTTTTGATAATAGCTATTCTAATAGGGGTAAGATAATATCTCAACTGTAATTTTGATTTGCATTTCTCTAATGGTTAGTGACATCTACAATGTTTTCATATACCTGGTGGTCATTTGTATGCATTCTTTTGAGTAATGTCTATTCATGTGCTTTGCCCACTTTTTAACAGAATTACTTGATTTTTTTACTGTTGAGCTCCTTGTATATTCTGAACATTAGTCTCTTGTTGGACATTGATTTATCCTTTTTTAACAATAGGACATTGTTACAGAAACAGCTGAAACTACCTCTGTCTTTCCTTCTTCCCTTCCTTTCTTCCTTCCTTCCAGTAGCTACTATTCTGGATCTGGTGCTTATTAGTTCCTGTATGTTTTTACACCTTGACTACATACACATGCCTCCATTATAATGTATGATATTATTTTGCATGTTTTGTTAACTTTCTATAATGGCATAGTATGTATATCTTCCTGTGACTTATAATTATTCACTACATTATATTCCTGAAATGAATTCCTATTGATATATGTAGCTTAAATTCTCAAACTGATGGATTAAAGATTCTTTATATGAATGGCCATTGGACCCAATGTGTTCAGTTATTTTTTATCTGTTTGATCTACCAGTTACTGAAATAAATCTGTTAAACATCTACCACCATGATTTTTAATTTGCCAATTTCTCTTTGTAATCCTGTTATTTTTGTTGTATATATTTGGGGACTATGTTATCAACTCTGCAAGGTCTTAGAATTATCACATTTCCCGGTGAATTGCTTACCTTATCAATATATGATGACTTTCCTTATAATAACATGTCTTTTAAAAAAAAGTTTTCAAGCAAAGTTTATTCGAGAAAGAAGAGAGAAAAGAAAGGGAGATATGCCAGAGCTGGCATGGGTGAGAGAAACCACCATAAAATTTCTTTATAACAATGCTTTTCAGATGAAAGTCAGTTTATTGACCTCAACTTTCTTTTAATTAGTATTTGCCAGGTATGTCTTTTTTCAGTCTTTTTATTTCAAACTTTCTCAGTGTCTGTAGACGTATTTTAGATGCAGCTCAACTTTTAACACCCATTCTGACATTCCCTAGTGAGTCTAGTATACTTTTATTTAGTATGTTTACTGGAATATTTGAAATTTATTTCTGTCATCTTACTTTGTTTATTATAGCTTGTTCCATGATTCTCTTTTTGTCTTGATTAAATTTTTGTTTTAGTCTCTATTTGTTTGGACAGTATACAAACATTGTGTTTCTGGCCTTCGGAGTTTACACATAAAACATATATATGGCGCATGCCTGTAATTCCGGCTACTTGGAAGGCTGAGGCGGAAGGATCGCTGGAGCCCAGCAGGTCAAGGCTGCGGCGGCCGGGAGCAGCCACTGCACTCCAGTCTGGGCGACAGAGTGAGACTCCAACGCAAAACAACAACAACAACAAAAAAACACATATGTATGCATTCTTAAGAGTTTACAGTTATTTGTTATGTCTTTCTTCTGGACACTATATAGAGTACTTTAACTACAATCACCAAACACACACACCCACCTTATAGGTTACTATTTTCCAGTATTTTAGTGTCATTTTGTTTTACACACATCTAAATAACATTATTATTACTACTTTACATTATCAATGATCACTTACATTTCCACACTTTACCAGTTTATTTGAGCACCATTCCTTCATACATTTCACTTCTTCCTTTTTGGCTCAATTTCCTTCTTACTATAACTTTCAGTAGTTGTTTCGTAAAAAATCTATTAGAAAATTTCTTGTTTCCCTGGTAGTACATTTATTTAGCCTTAACTCTTGAGGGATAGCTTGGTTTATAGAGAATTCCAGGCAGACAGTTCTTTTTTTCCTTATCATTTAAAAGATAATTTTCCATTATTTTCTAGTTTCCATTGTGCTGTTGAGAAGTCTGCTGTCAGTCTATCTTTTAGAGTATTTTTTTTTTCTTCATTGCTCTTAAAATATTTTCTGTTTTGGGTGTTCTACCAAGCTGTACCTACTTATGTAGACTATGACATAAAGGGATCAAATTTTAATTCATTTGTAATAATTTTAAGGCTCACTGTACTTCCTGAATCAGAGAATTAATGATTTCTCTTAATTCTGGGACTGATAAAAAGTCTTTTTTCCTTATCTGAAACACTTGTTAGATAAATACAGATCTTTCTATATCCTTTATCTTTGTTGCATTCTGGGTAACTTCTTCAGATCTATTTTTCTTTTCACCAATTCTCTCTTTGGCTGTGTCTAATTTTCTGTGTAACCTGTTCATTAAGGTTTTTATATCAGTCACTTTTTCAGTTCTATAATTTCTACTTTGTTCAAATCTGCCTGGTTCTCCTTTTCTGAAAATGACTAGATCTTTTCTTGTGTTTTTTATTATTCTTTCTATGCTTGCTATTTAAAGTATAGCCATCTGTATACTTTATAATGATACCGTGTTTGTCACTTATATTCTCTATAACATCATTTAAAAACATTTTTGTAGACATGGGTCCTGTTGTGTTGCCCAGGCTGGTCTTAAACACCTGGCTTCAAATAACCCTCCAGCCTCAGCCTCCCAAAGTGCTGGGATTAGAGGTGTGACCCACCACTTGGCCTCTAACACATAGTTTTAGTATTAAAAATTCTTGGGAGGAATAATCTTGCTGTTTGTTGACATTGCTAATCTAGTTCAAAGTAGCTTATTTCTTCCTTTGTTTTGTAATTCTTAGATTG